TTTTTTATTTTGAGACAGGTCTTGCTAAGTTGCTAAAAGCCTCGTTAAATTGCTGAGGCTGGCTTTGAACTTGCCAGGTGTGATAAAGGGTTTTAAGCAGGGGGAAGTCTGAACAGATCTAGATAAAATCTGGATAAAATCCAGAAAGCCCACTGGCAGTAGTGTGCAAAATGAATGGATGGGGTGTGCTCTAGGAAGTTCTCTTATCTTTTTATTTCCGCACTTGGAATCACACGAATACAATAATTAATATCTGAATATGTATATAGAACATCAGTTGGGCATAGACTTTTGTAGAGAATAGATGTTTTAATCAGTGGTCAATATCATTCATATTGCCATGATATCAACTTTTCCTCCTCTACTTTGAATTTTAATATTTCCTTCTTATTTAATCTGAGAAAATTTGGCGAAAACAGTTATTTGCTGAGAGATGAGGAAAACAGAGTGTGGAAAAGAGTGGCAGACTGTTCTGCGTTGTCACTGCTCTGGGAATTACATGAGGCATATATGGAAACCAGATTCTGCAATTTAGAAGCTCTAGTAAAATATTTTCACAATTGCATTCCCCTCCAGCACTTGTTAAGGCAAAGACATGACTTCCTTATGTTTTCTTACTTATCTTCACTATATTAGAACCCATTTCTTTTTCTTTTTTCATTCTTCTTCTTCTTCTTCTTTTTTTTTTTTTGGTACTGGGATTTAACCCAGGAGTGCTCTACCACTGAGCTACTTCTGGTCCTTTTTATTTTTTATTTTGAGACAGGATCTCAGTAAGTTGCAGAGACTGGCCTCTAACTTGAGATTTTCCTTTCTTAGCCTCCCGTGTCGCAGGCATGGGCCATTGCGCTGGGCTTAGAACCTTACATTTCTAGAAATGTCTTCTGAAATGAGCAAGACTGATTTCCAGCTTACGTGGGAGGGCACAACATAGAGAAATTGAGAATCAGAACCTTTTCCTGGAGGTTAAAGAGAATGCTTGGTCTGGCGAAGGATAATGTTGCTAGATGGTGAGCAGCTGGGACTCCCACTTTCGGAAGGGACCTATTTTCAAGGGAGATTGTTAGATCACCTCTTCCATTTGGAGGAATAGGGAAATTAGGCAGGCTAGAGACTAATTATATCCAATGGAGGTGTTAAATTTCAATGGAGAATTTGACTTCCGAGAGTCTCCAACTGGATGGGAGTTGTGGCTTGTGAGAAAGGTCTCTGACTATAGGGGTGAAGTGTGCAAGGAGTGTGGGCCTGGTTGAGGAGTTGGGCTGAAGGGTGCAGGTCTGGCTGTGGGTGTTAGAGTGCGGGCGAGGGAACCCGGGTGCGGGTCTGGTGTGTTGCCCGGCGCCTCTCACCTTTTCGGGCTTTGTCTCCGGGGATATTCTGGGCCCGCAGCCGCTGGTCCAGGATGTAAAGCATCTCCCCGCCCAAGTTCAAAAATAGCAGAGGTAGCGTCCGCACCGACATGGTGCTGGAAGCCAGTAGGGCAGGTGAGGAGCCCTAGGGCACTGTAGGCAGGGGCCTGGAGGCCCAGCCGCGTCTAGTAGCCTGGTTGCTAAGACGACGCCGCGGACGGGAAGAGCGAGCCAATAAGAAGACAGTTTGGTGAGAGGTGTCCTGAGGGCGGACGCTCATTGGGTTGGGCGGCAGCGAGCGCCCTGGGGATTGGTCCGAGCCGGGTGCCGGAGGGTCGTTGGCTTACTTTGGGGCGCGCTGGTTTGGATTTTCTTAAGCGGCGGTGGCCGCAGCCACCGTCCAGAGGCGGTCCTTCGGCCCGCACAGCCCGCCGGGTCGTGCCTCATCCCTTCCGGCTTTGCCGGCAGAGAGAGAGGAGAGCCCCAGCGGCCGACTCCGCTCGGACTGACCTGGGCTGCCCTGTTCCGCGGTCTCCTTGTTGGGTGACTTGGGGTAGGTTTTTGAGCCTCGGCTAGCTCGTTGGTAAAATTGAGGTAACGCCCACCTCTGAAGAGGAAATCAGTGAGATCATGGAAAAGGCCACAAAAGCACTCAATGAATTTTTTTTTTTTTTTGTATTGGGGATTGAACTCAGGGTCACTCAATCACTGAGTCACATCCCCAGCCCTATTTAGTATTTTATTTAGGACAGGGTCTCAGCCTTGGGCTGAGGTTGGCTTTGAACTTGCCATCCTCCTGTCTCAGACTCCCAAACTGCTGAGATTACAGGCGTCCGCCACTGCGCCCGACCAGAAGACATGACTTTTAATATGACATATCTCTTGCTGTTTGGCTGACCAGAGTCCAGATGCCTTGGCATGGCATCCAAGACTCTCTGGCTCCCAACTACCTTTCCAGAGTCATCTGCACCACCCTGTCCCCATCTCTCTTTAGAACTCCTCTCATCAGCAAGTTATCCCCTTTGGGCAATTTGCTCCCCTTCTCTTCCTGATAACCACACCATTGGAAAGCCTTGCCTTGACATGAGCCAAGCTCAAGTCCTTCCTATGTTAATTTCTCCCTGTATCCTTCACCCTCTCTCTCTTTTTTTTTCTTTTCCTTCTCTTCCCAGCTAAAGTTTATGAAATCATCTGCACTTACATTCTGAGCTTCCTTAACATCTTTGTTCCCCATCTCCCAGTATTTGGGATTAAGCTCCCTCCACCTCACTGAGACTGCCTTACCACAAATACTATTTGGTCCTCTTAACTGACATATCAACATCAGGACTATGATTTGTTCAAAGTTGCCAGCCCATCTTTGATTTGGTCATTTTCCCCCTGTCTGTGTACAGTGTTAAAAGGAAATATAACTAGGATAGGAATAGAATAAACAGCATCATTACTTTGTGCTAGTCCTTCAAGAATTTTTTACCAGCTTGGCTTCTAAAGGCATTTGTGTTTGCTATAGTGTAGGTTCTTCTCTTAGCTTCTTAGACTTTTTCTCAGTAAGTAGGCAGTATGTTGTAGGGGGCAGAATATGAGCTTTGGAGCTTGGCTTGAATCCTAGACCTGTCTCTAACCAGCTGTGTGAACTTGGATACATAACTTAATCTTTCTGAGCCTTACCTCTCTCATGGTAAAATGTGGATAATCAGCCAATGTAAGGTATAAAGATGGCTTTGACTAGTAGGTACGGTAATGTACCTAAGCCAGCACTAAAAGCAGTGCCTTTCCTGTAGAGCCTGATGTATTCATGTCTTCCTTTTCTTCCTCCTTTCCTTCCACTAGCCCCTTTTAAATGTTGGTGCTTGGCCTCTAGCATAAGATCTCTTAGTAGTTGTGTTCACTTGGAAGTCCTGTCTTCTAAAGGACTTCCCTACTATTCCTGGAGGTGATACCTGAACAGCTCACTTTTTGTTCAGAGCTTCTGTCTTGCTTCTGATTCTGCAGGATCCCAGGCTCTCTGTTCTACCCATACCTTCCTCTCAACTTGAACTATTCTGGGTAAGGCTGTGCCCTCGAGAATCATCCTTTTAATGCCAATCTGGCCCTTATTCTACTGCACTCCCTCCCTAGGCAATTTCATTCACACTCATGGTTTCAACCGCCTTAGCAACTTGCAAGATGCTCTGGTCCTAACCTCCCTACTCAGTCTGGAATCTATTCTAACTGCTCTTTGGATAGTGCTTTAACCTACCTCTCCCTTATTGGCTTTCTTCTATGGCTTCCCTTCTCAGAAGTCCAAAGTCTTTTCTCAAGTTATGGACTTAATGTTTATGTCCTCCCTCCCAACCCCTGCCGTTAACATGTTGAAGCTCTGACTTCACCATTACAGAGTACTTGGAGATGGGGCATTTGGGAGGTAACAGGAGTCAGGCCATGAGGGCAGGGCCTTCTTGATGGGTTTAGAGAAAGAGGAAAAAGAGATTTTCTTTTCTCCATCCCTCCAGTGTACAAACCAAGGAAAGGCCATATAAAGACATGAGAAAGTGGCCTCTGCAAGCTAGGAAGAGCGCCCTCACCAGAAATGAAATTGCCTAGTACCTTGATCTTAGATTTCACAGCCTCTAGAACTGTGAGAAAACAAGTAGTTCAATCCACCTAGTCCATGGTTCTTTGTTTTGGCAGCCTGAGCAGGTTTTCATACCCAGAAAGCTCTGTATCTGATGTCTACTCATCCTTCTGACCTCCTCTTATTCTTCTTTTGCTCACTGAATTTGACACATTGTCTTTTTGGATGCTTCAAACTCTAAGTATGCTCAGGCTCTGAGGCCTTGGCACTTGGTATAAATGGGTGGGATTTATGGGGAAGGAGTTATTTATAAACCTTCCTCTCAACACACACAGATCTTAAAAGCAATGTTTGTATATGTGTAGTTTAGTTTCCTGATGATAGGACTAATAGTTTTTTGTTTTCGTTTTTGGGACCTTGAGATAACTCCAGTACTTTACCACTGGCTACATTCCCAGCCTTTTTATTTTGTGATCCTCCTGGCCAGGTAGCTGGGATTACAGGCATGCAAACTACTAGGACTTAGTAGTTTTTTAAATCAGATTTTCAATGTGAACACCAAAAACCCTATCCCCCAAGTAATGAATTTCTCTTATCTCTCCCTTCCCATCTACCCTCCTCATAGCTGCTGCTTAATTACTAAAAACAGAGGCCTGCTGTTAGCATCACTCTTTTGGTTTTGACTTTAACCTCCTCTCCAATCCCTTGAGGACAGTGTGAAGGTTTCTTGGCCTAGCTTGCCTTCCACTGCTCCCTGAACACAACATGCACTTCTAGACTTGTCTTTGCACCTGCAGTTCCTTCTGCCTGGATGTTGTCCCTCCCTCTCAGCCTAGTGAACTCCTACTCATCCTTTAGGACTCCTACAGCTGGCCTTCCCATCCAGCCAGCCACTCTTCTACTATGCTGCCCTGTGCTCAGTCTTGCCTGCCCTGATACACATGCTCCTGGATGACAGGTCTGTATGCCTGTGTTCTCAGGAAGTGGAGGGCAGGAACTCAGACACCCTTGAGATCCTAGAGCTCAATGAGAAAATACCCTCCACCCCTTCTTTCTTGGGCCAAAAAGAATGGAGTCTTCTATCACTCAAGGCAGAATTAAATAATTTTAACAGACTTTATTGGTTTTCTTTGAGTACATCTGCACAGGCTTTGGAAGAGCTCTCTGGGTTCTCCTGGTCATCTTGTTTTGGGGCTGCTGCAGCTTTAGCTTTAGCTTTTAATATCCTTTTTTGTTTCTTCAGCTTTTTTGCCTCTTGGAAAACCTGCGGGTTGGAAGGAGGCAGGAAGAGACTTTGTAATCATATGCAAAACCTATGACTTGGAGGTCAGGTAGGAACTATCTCCCCCAGGTGGTAAGCCCAGGCTTCCTCCATGGGGTTGGTGACCTGTGACCTCCTTGAAGCCAGTTCTAGGCTTCTAACAAAGACAGGTTATCTCTCCCTTCTGCACCCTTTATCAAAGTCCCAGTGAGGCTGACCAAAGGAGCAATTCTGGTTCATACCCGGAGGCACAGAGCCCTCTTGGCCACGAAGCGGCGGTGAGCAGTTCGGTAATAGAGAGGGGGAAAGGTGTACTCAATTCCCAGTTCCCTGCATGTCTTCTCAAAGACATCATAGTTGGTCTTACGAAGGTTTTTAAGCATCTTTTTCCTCTGGTCAAGGCTCATCAGTAGATAGCGTTTGTGTGCTTTATCCTGCAGGAAAATCTGTTACTTTTAGTATTCTAAGTGTTATTGTTGTGACAAATGTTAGTGCAGTTCCGAAGAAGGCACTGTCATTGTTGGTTGCATTTTACAGATGGGAAAATAAAGGTTCAAAGATGTTATGATTTACAAAAGGTCCTCAAACCTGTTGATGCTGAAGTAGCGTCTTGAATCCGGGTCTACTGAGCTAACTCCAAATCTTACGCTCTTTCCCTTATACCACCTGCTCAGTCTCTCCACAGCTAGCAAACTGTTAGCTAGAGTAGAGACAAAGGAAGGCCTTGTACTCTTCCTGGAGATCCATGCCCATGGCTGGGGGCTGCTTTACGAGGGGCTTCTGCAGCGGGGCTGGTATTCCACACCCAATGTGATCTCCAAGGAGCAACTAGCTCCAGAGAGCACTAAAGTGCCAGTGTATTTTATTAAAAATAATCACAATTGGGGCTGGGGATATAGCTCAGTTGGTAGAGTGCTTGCCTCACATGCACAAGGCCCTGGGTTTGATCTCCAGCAACACACACTCACACACACACACACAAATCACAGCTGCCTAATTTGCCTAATTATAGCAGCTCTGTGCTAGACACTGTGCTGATAGGGCATAATGGTCAAGCATGTGGGATCTGCAGCAATGCTGACTCGTTTGTTTTAAGTCTTGACCATTACTTCCCTAGTAGTGTGCCTTGAGGAAAAATGTAATCTCTCCATGACTAGACTATCCCTCTAAAAAATGGGAAAGAACAACAGTTATAGGGTTAAAAATGAGAAAATGCAGGTAAAGCATATAGCACAGGGCCCAAGACTTCCTATCCATCATGCTGGCTGCTATTATTATTTCAGGTAGCCCAGGCAATGCTGTGAGCAGGTACTTTCATATTCCCCAACTTACAGATAAGAGACTAAGGCTTAGACCTGTAACTTCCCCAAAGTCACACAGCTAGTTAAATGGAAGTGGCAGAGCTGAGATTTGAACAGGGCAATCTGACTCCATTCATGCACTCCACAAAAAATATTTATTCAGCACCCACTGTGTGCCAGACCCAGTGACCATGCTGTAAACTTTTTTTTAAAAATATTTTTTTTAGTTGTAGATGGGCACAGTACCTTTATTTTGTTTTATTTTTATGTGGTGCCAAGGATCAAACGCAGTGCTTCATATGTGCTAGGCAAGCGCTCGACCACTGAGCCACAACTCCAACTAAACTTAGCGTTCTTAACCACTAGTGAGTTGGTCCAGCTCTGTAAGGTTCCCATTTTCCCTCTGGAGGCCGGAGGGAAGTGTTTTTCCCACTGACGCTGATGAGGGCACTATCATGTTACAGCCACTGGCTTCATAGGACCCAGAGCCCTTTACCTCCCAGACTCCTTTCCCCCAGCTGCTGCTGTTTAACTGTGAATGATGCTCAGGATTTACCTTTCGATGTTTCTGCATGTGTTCTTCATAATTGCGGATCTTGATGGTTAAGGCAACAACTGAAACCACAAACCACAGAGGATGAGAGCTGGGCACAGAGGAAGGAAGGGCCCAGGCCTGCATTATGTTTTGAGAAATGAAGGAGTAACAATCACCAATGCTTTTGTACTGCTCTTTATAATCCCAAAGCACTTTAAATTACAAGATCTCAAAAGACTTTACATTGTCTTTCCTCTAGAAAGAAAATTCCATAGAAGGGAAATTCCTTAATCTTATAAAGGTATCATCTAAAAATCATAGTAAACAGCATTCTTAATGGTAAAACTTCAGAGCGTTCTCGTTAAATTCAGAAACTAGCACATCATTCTCTCATGGCTAATGATTTGATACTGTACTCAAAGTCCAGCCAATGCAGCTGATGGGATCCCAAGAGTGTCTGGATCTACTCCTTGCCTGAACTTTTCCAGCTGCCATCCTTATTTCTGTGCTTTCACTACTGAGTTTCGAGGACTGTCAGCTCTCACTTGTCTCCCAAGGCCCTGGACTACATCCCCTTCAGGCACCTTACTTGATTCTCACCTGTAAAGTGGGGAAAAGCGGAAGTTGGTTCCACAGAGAAGCTGTCACTCAAGTGGGCATTTTCCCAGGACACACACAGAATTCTGCGTGTACTGCAGAGAGGGAAGTGGGAACCTTGGCTCTGACCACATGGCCCTGCATACCACCTTAGCTACAGAGCAGAAAGAGACTGAGGGATCTCCAGAGCAGACACTATGCAAAAAATGCCTGGCCTTCAGAAAACTGAGTGATATAGCACCAATGCTTGTGGTTAAAGAGGACTCTAGTTACCACCTCACTGATGTCTTGACAAACAGCCCATCTGTTCCTGCCAACCTGGGAGATTTCAGCAGTGATCAGACAGAAATGGGCAGGGTAAGATAAGCAGCCCTTAGGTGGATGAGATGTCCCCAGGCCAGTCAGGGGTTCAGGGAGGCTGAAGGAAATGGGAAACTCACCTTTTCAAAAGGGGCTAGAAAGGACCAGGAGTTGGGCCTCCAGACCCCCTCCTTGGGGTCTAGCCTTGGCTATTTGCTAAGAAGAATTCACCAGATTTAATCTCTGGCCAGGGAGAAGAACAGAGTGGAGGCAGGGGTGGGGAGAAGGAAGTAGAGGCTATAATATAGTCCAAAGGCAAGGAGGAGGAAACACAAAGACTCCCCCGCCCCCCAGAGGTTCACCAATCTACCTCATTGCTCCTAGTGGTGGATGAAGATCAATACCATCAAAAGCAGGGGGAGGTGGCGGGGGTTTTTCAAGAACATCTAATGGGGACTATTGCCAATTCCAGCTGGAAACCTCAGTAGGAGCATTATGCCCTTGGGAGTGCTCATAATGTCTCTCTGGAACATAAGGGCTCTGTAGATGTGTCTTTTCCTTTTTTTTTTTTTTTTTTTTGGTGGTGCTGGGAATTGAACTCAGGGTCTTGTGCATGCGAGGGAAGCACTCTACCAACTGAGCTATATCCCCAGCCTGCTTTTTTTGTTTTGTTTAGTTCCTTTGTCTTACTTTTCTTATCAGAGAGTTGAACTTTAGTTTCCAAGGTGTGTTTATGTGTTCTAGCTTCTCAATCCTGCCACGAGTTAGGCAGCAGTACTGTGCCCTAACCTGCAACTTCCTGCTCATTCAGAAGAGGAAACAGAGGCTCTGGAGAGGACTTGAGGACTTGCCCAAGCTCACAGAGAAGTACAAGGCAGGACCTGGCTGCTGACTCCAGAACACATAGCTTGGGATCCAGAGTCCAGTTTTCACTGTCCTAGGTCCTTATATCTCCTTTTCACAAGATAAAGTGTACTTGAGCCCTAGATCAGGTACCAGCTATCAGACACCTCTGCACCCCCACTCCCCAAGAGCCCTCTGACCAACTTCGAGCTTCCAGGGATCTGGTGTCCTCAGGGTTTTCCACAACTTTTTTCATCAACTGTTCTTGCTTGATTTTTAGCTTCTCTTTCTGTTGAAGACAAAGATTAAGAAAATCTGTGCAGTCTGTCATGCCCTAAGAGCTAGCCCTTCTGCCTGCAAGGCCATACCTGCCGTGATAGCAACTAGGCCCAGAAAACTCAGGGCTGGACTGCATAGGGCTCATGACGACCTTGGTCAAACAGCATGGCTATCCACATATGATGAGCCCAAGGCTAAAGCCTTGGCTTGTCAGATGAATGTCCACAAAGTTTGCTCACTCAATTGTGCACAGGTCTTTATCAAGTATCCACTGTCTGTCAGGTGTTAGGGGGACAATGGGGAACAAAACTATCCTTTTCTTCAAGGTGTTCAGTCTGGGGGTACTGACATGTAGACACAGAGTGAAGCTGGGATGCATGCTGTGACTGGAGAAACGTGGATTGTGGGGTGCTAACCAGGGTAGGAGGGAGCCCTAGAGAGGCCAAGGCAAGACACTCACCTGGTTGGCCATTTCCAAAGACAAAAGTCTCTTCACAACATCATCAACCCTGTGAAAAACCAGAGCAATGAATGACAAGTGTGGGAGAAGGGGGGAGTGGAAGAAATGCTGTTTTCACTTTAGTTTAAAAAGCAAGGATGAGGAGCTGGGGATGTGGCTCATGGTAGAGCACTTGCCTAAGCACGCGTGAAGCCCTGGATTCGATCCTCAGCACCACATAAAAGTAAATAAAGGTATTGTGTCCATCTACAACTAAAAAATAATTAAAAAAAAAAAAGGATGATTGAAAATTCCTTCTACAACAAATAAGGATCTCTGGAGGTGGGGAGCCATTTTCCAGGGCTTAAAAGTCTGCATGGCTCTGGCTTGCTGGGCTAAGAACATGGAGTGATATAATTACAGAAAATTACAGCTGTTGGCTTGAGTGTTCTAGTCTCATCATAGGAAGGGCAAAGGGAGGATTTTCATTTTCAGCTACGACATGGGTCAATATGTCTTTGAGACACTTCAAGACAAACCTGCACATTGAGTGAGACTGTAGAATGCCTTGAGTGGAAGCACTGCTTCCACTGAGGAGGACCTGAGTGTCTATTGGCACTGGATTCAAACCCCAGCTCTGCTTCTTAGGAGATATATGACATGGGGCAGCTTAATATTCTATTTTTTTTTTTTTTTAAAGAGAGAGTGAGAGAGAGAGAGAGAATTTTTTTAATATTTATTTTTTTTTAGTTCTCGGCAGACACAACATCTTTGTTGGTATGTAGTGCTGAGGATTGAACCCGGGCCGCACGCATGCCAGATGAGTGCGCTACCGCCTGAGCCACATTCCCAGCCCAAGCTTAATATTCTATAAGACAGGGGACATGGTTTCTTCTCTCACAGGGCTTTTGTGAGGATCAAGAGATGGAAATTTCTACAAAGACCTACAAAGCATGTTAGCTCCTTGCTATCTAGTAGTAGGTCTTCTCTCAAGAGTACTGGGGGGGGGGGGGGGGGGGAAGCAAGTAGTTGAGCTCCAAGAGTCCCATCTGTCCCTGCTGCCCATTCACCCTGACTATACCTGGGTCTTTTTATCTCTCTTATTCATTTTATAATCAAGCCTAAGATACAGTAGGTCAAGTCTCTTTCCCCACTCCCACCAATTTTCCCTGCCTCCTTAAGTGGGTTTCTTCCTGCTTACTTCTCAATTCCAGGGATGTTCTGGTAGTCTTTGAGCAGCGTGGAAGTGGGTGGATCATTGTCTTGCTTGGGCTGGACTGTCAAATATAGGGATGGAAAACACCAAGTCAACTCTGACTGCTTCTCCTGACATATTCCCCAACCCTATGAGAGACATCCAGGGTCTCAAGACACGGCATTGGATATCTCTGGGCTTAGTTTTTCCTCTGCAAACCCTGTGGGCACTTGCTTTGATATTTCATTCTGTAAAGAGATGGTCTTTCCCAGACCTCATACCTGTGCCTGCACCCCTCAAATATCTGCCTGGGTTCTACTGTTATCAGATTCCCCACTAGGTTGGGCTCTCCAATGGACAAGATTGAGTTTGATGCCCTTTGTACACCCCCCACACCCGCCTACCCCCCCAAGTCTGGTCCATAGCCCAGCTCAGAATAAGCTTTCAACAAATACTTGCTGGCTGATTCAAGAATTAAATAAGGGGGTTGAGGAAGGACAGCTTTAGGACAGCTGAAACATAAGTATCAAGTATAGAGCACAGGAAAAGCTGAGCTTTGGTGTTTGCCTCCCTGCTGTCCCTTGGAGGTGAGGGATATACATGGGGTAAATCTACTTGTCCTCTCTAGTCAGACTCTGCTCTGCTGCTATGCAAACAACACTAGTAGCAGTAAGTTCTAATATATACTATTATTTATTAAGCACAGTGCTAAGTTGGCTTTTCATGTGTTATCATAGAATCCTAACAATAAAACTCTCCAATGGATACTTTTACATTCATTTTAGAAATGAAACTCAAAGAAAGTAACTTGTCCCAAACAACTTAGTTACCCAGTAATGGTTATGCAAAGGGAGACATAAAGTGCTATATTCTAGGAAGGCCTGGGTGGTGTCAGCCTTGCACCCTTGCTGGCTAGCTCATTTTCAGGCATTCACCCTTTGAAATCTCTTGTTCATACCTTCTTCCCCCACCCTCATGAAGGCTTCTGGCTTAGGGATCTACATATTGTTGACGTAGTCTCCTGACCCCTTTGCCCACCCATTAAATATCTCTAACTCGCTATCTCGGTCCCTTTGGCCACCCCAAGCTTTCCAGGCGGCCTCTCCTGCCCCAAGTCCACCTACCTGGGTTTTGGACGGCATATCCACGAGCCGCCTGTAGGAGACCTACGCAGAACAGAGAATACTGAGACCCATTTCCTTAAACTACCCAGCCCTGGTTCTTTCTGCGCCCTTCGCATTACCCTTCCTCCACGGTCGGTGTGCCGCTGAGCCGAACTGTCGCCCCTTTTCTCCTCCAGCCCCTGCCCAAGTCTCCCCGACCTCGTCTCACTCCTTGGCCAGCCACCATTCTCCCTCATCCTGCCGCTGCTCTTCTCCCCTATTGTGTTCCCGGCTATCCTCCATCCCTGCTAGCCCCTACTCCCGACTCCCGAAGTCCCATTTCTTGGCTCCTCACTTGGAGGCTGCAGGCCCCACTGGTCGGAGAGAAGCCTGGCGTTCCCTCTCCCCAGCAGGCCAAAGGCTGGGGCCTGGGTCATTGCCTGGGTTCGAACCGAACTCAGGGCCCTCCATGCGGCCCTCAGCATGGTGACTTCCGACCCCAACCGGGCCCGCGCCGCAGCCACCGTCCCCTTCGCGGTTACGGACAAGGCTACATGGGCGGCGCCATGATGGCTCAGGCTCGACCAATCGAGGCAGTTGCTCGGCCTGAGCAGACGAGGACCGAGAGAATGGATTGGCGGGCAGGACACGGTGAGTTCGCCGATCGCTGGGTGGGGTTGGTCCGCGGCGGGCCAGCTTGGGGGCGTGGCCCTGTGGTTAGTGTTGTGAGGCGCTGTATAAACTCGAAAGTGCTACTTTTTCTTGGACGTGCATGCTACCTTAATCCCTCCCTATGTCCCTGGCCTCGTGCTCCGGTCATTTCGGGGCTTCCAGGGGAATTGCCGTAACCTTCTTCTTCTTCTTCTTCTCCTTCTGCCTTCCCTCCCAGAAGGTCCGCGATGAGACCCTGTCAGAATTAATGGGGCACTGGGTCGTTTCATGCAGCCTTGTAGCCTAGTGACTAAGATCACCGGTTTTGGAAGTCCGGGAATCCTAAGTCGGCCAGTTACTATGTGACTCTGTGAGCAAGTCACTTAACCTCTCTGGGCCAGGTACTCGTCCATTAAGTGGGAACGGTAGTAACAGCATCTCTCTTTTAGGTTGTTGAGAGGATTAATCGGCAGTTGTTTGCAGAATACTCGATTAAATAGTAAACATTCAATAACTGTTAACTATGATAATATTTGTGAAATGAGGGGTATAAGGGGAAATGTAAATTAAAAATAAGAAGAATTAAAGTTTAATTTTTCACCGGTGAAAAGACTGTTCTCCCCTCACTTTTCTTCAAGCATTTTTTTTTTTTTTTAGAAAACTTGTAATTGTGAATTCTTTCTCTATTCTTTTTGAGATGCATGGAAATCTTTTTATAAGGTAAGTAAACCTCTTACCAGTTTTACAACCCAGGAAGGTATTTCTCAAGGGCCTGGGATATGTAATCCTGAAGGATATTAGTGCCTTATCTCTCTCCTGGTTTCTTTGGGAGAGTAGGACCCTAACTTCCTGCAGATGCTTGTCTCCCATCTGCAAACCTTTCTGTGATAAAGAAAGAAGTTATTTTTACTTTGCACAGAGGCAAATTAGCAAACCCAGGTAGCTAACCCATTTACCAGATGAATTTAGGATGAACTCTGTGTGACAAATGGAGCTATCAAATCCTCCTCTTACTTGAACACTATTTATCTCTCCTTTTTTGGGGGGTTCTGGGGATTGAACTCAGGGGCACTTGACCACTGAGCCACATCCCCAGTTCTATTTTGCATTTTATTAGAGACAGGGTCTCACTGAGTTGCTTAGCACCTGGCTTTTTGCTGAGGCTGGCCTTGAACTCGCTATCTTACTGTCCCAGCCTCCTGAAGCTACTGGGATTATAGGCATGCACCACCTCCTCCAGCTATAAATTCTTTCTGTCTTTGCAATCTCTTTAGTGGATTGCCTGCCCTGCACACCACATTCCTTATTCAATAATAAAACTGTTTTCTTGCTCTTTTGCCCTTGCAGGGAAGGTTTCTGGGTTGATAGGAGATTTTGTTTTCAATTATGGATCTCCAATAGGGGTTAGTCTTTTCCAAGGTCTCTTTACCACGTCCCACAGTGCTCTGTGACTCCCTGCACACAAGACTTACTGCTGTTCCATAATGATCAGTTTTGAGTCTCTATCATCAGAATGGGAGCCCTCAGAGAGAGAGTGAACTGAGCCATTTTTGAAATCCTGCTTTGGCACAGGGTCTAGATGCTAGATAGGAGCTGGCTGAAGGAAAGAAGGAAGGAAGGAAGGGAGGAAAGGGAGGAAGATGATTTGGAGACTGTAATTGACTGCTAGGGCCCTGAGAAGAAACAGAGACTCAAGTACACTCAAGAGTTTCCAAAAACAATAACAAAACCCAAAATAAAAATAAAAAAATTTAAACGACGATTATTACAGAAAATAAGCACAAAAAGCTAGAGGGTCGGGGGGCGGGGAACAGAGTGTTATCTGGTTTTTAAAGTATGCAGGTGGCCTGGGACATGGTCACTTGGGGGAAAGAGAGGGACAGGGGGCCCTTTCCTGGGGCTAGGTAGTTTTTAGGGATGAATGGATTTATTGACCCTTCCTCTGGATAGTCCAGGCCCTTAAAGAGGCAGGCCCAGGTGGGGAGACTCAGGGAGCCTTAAAAGCTCTCTAGTTCTTCTATCCCATGGACCTGGAGTCCCTGCAAGAGGGGGAAGTCAACCAGTGGCCCAAAGACACAGTCGTTCTCCTGGCTTTGGGGTGGGGGCACTGGGGTCCCTAGGGGGCTGGTCTGGAACCAAAGATTCTCATAGGACTTAGGACTTGGGGTGAGGCCCCCTAAGAGAGGCTGGGTGGAGTCACAGCGGAGGTAGTGCCCAGGCTCTGGACTGGTGGGGCTGCCCAGCACCTGCCCATAAAGGACCTGGTCACTGGTGCCAGACTGGGGCTGGGACTGTGTGGAAACTGCCCTTGGGTCCCCCTGGAGCACATAGGCCTGGACCAGGGTGGGGAGGCCACAGGTCTCTGAGCTGTCACTGGACTCCCAGGGCCCTGGCTTCTTCTCCTCTTCATCCAGCACGGTGATCTTGGTGATGGTTGGCATGCCAGGGTCCCAAAGACTGGGCAGCTGGAAGGTCTCCTGGACACAAGGACATGGAGTGAGGACACGGTTCATGTCAGGTGTCTGCCCCAGCCACTGTCCCTTCTTGAGTTGGGGCAGCTGTAGGACATCCC